AAAAAAAAAAGCGGGAAAACCCGCTTTCGAAAACCGGGTTCGAAAGCCGGTTTTCCCACTTTTTTTTTTCTTTTTTTTTTCTTTTTTGATTGATTGATTAATTGGTAGGGGATGGGTCTGGGTGAGGGGTGGGGGGGCGAACCATCCCCTACCAATCAATCAATTCATCAAAAAGGGAAAAAAAAAAGAAAAAAAAAAAAGCAGGAAAACCCACTTTCAAAAGCCGGGTTCGAAAGCTGGTTTTCCCACCTTTTTTTTTTTTTCTTTTTCCTTTTCTTTTTTGATTGATTGATTGATTGGTAGGGGATGGGTCTGGGTGGGGGGTGGGGGGGCAACCCATTCCCTACCAATCAATCAATGGGTTGTAGGGCTTAAAATTCCCTACAACCCCATTTTTTTGTTTTTTTTTTGGCCTATTCTTTAACTCAGGAAAAATCTGGTAAAATCGGGTCCGTGGCGCGGACCCGGTAGGCTGCGGAGGTGGTCGTGAATACGTCCGCCCTTCGAGCTCGGCCCCGCGGACGCGGACGCGTCCGCGGGTGTTTCATAGCACACGACACCTCACATGAGAGGACCCTCAAGAAGGAACTCACAACCTCACGGCAAGAAGTGATGAAAAGGGTAGATAAGGTTAAGAGCAACGTACCTCAGTATAGCTGCCCCCAACCACAGATATTCTTACCAGATGACCTGATGGCGATTGCTATGACCAGTCACTGCATCGGCACAACCAGCATTATCTCACCGTTCCACCTCAGCATCAATCAACCACCAGATAGTTCTCATCACACAGCGAACATCCAATATACACACCGTAGCCTTCCTGGCGATTCCCCTCTCCTCCTGGGTCGCCAAACCTTGTCTCCGCCCTCCTCACTACACACCGCCACGGCCTCACTCACCAAGCACACAGCATGTACGTACCGCATAGACAGAAGACAAGCGCCAGATGAGTGTAACGTACCACAACTTTGATGCCAAATTGCAAGGACGATGAGCTATAGCGAACTTCACAAATCAAACAGCATCATACACTTAAGACCAGATAGTCGTGACCTCGAACCTATGAATCCCCCTCGGCGGCGGCCATCCGCGGCCGAATCCGTGGACGCGGCCAGTCCGCCGACCCCGCAGACGCGCGGCTTTGAAGCCACGTGGCGGCAGTAGGGGAGCGATTTTCGGAAATCGGGAGACGCCACGTGGCGGCGCATCCCCGGCCCAACCTCCCCACACAAAAAAAAACGAAAAAGATCAGCTTTTGGTTGGGGGGGTATGGGCGAAATCGAACGAAATTGGAAAAAAAAAACACGCGTTCTTTTTTTTTTTTTTCCCGTTGATTGATTGATTGATTG